CCACACATTTCTTGTTTTTGGTATTTAAAAGTATAACACTACTTAATAAAACCATCCATCAAATTTCCTCCAGCCAATAATCGAATGGATAACTATTCTTGATTTCTGTGAGAATTTTTAATAATCAGTGAAAATAAGAGAAATAATACATCAATTTGGCCAATATGTTTGTTGATGCTAGATAATAGATGCCAAGAACTATTCAGTTTGAACCTAATTAAAATGACTTACCTAAATATAACCTGACAGTCTTAGAGCAGTTTTTGGTTAAGTTGCATTAGGTAATGTTTGACTACCAACCTAACTCAGCTAATATGATATTTATCTCATGCATAATGTACTCTAATATGGACTCATTGTTTATATTAATTTCAGTTATAATCAGAGTTGAGAAAACCACAATACCGTGTTTCTATTTCTTGATTCATAATATAATACAGGTATTACATGTGAAGTTCTTCAGAAAGATGTTCTCTGAATATATTATGACAACAGCAAATCTTTTTTTTCTACTGTCTTATTAGAAAAAAATAACTAACATTATCTCTAAAAGGAGGGCAGCACAAGAAAATAGTAATCACTTTGTATTTTGTCCTTTACATATAAAATATCCACTGTTTGAAGACAAATTTGACCTACATTATTATGACACAGGAAATTGTCAGGTGTTTAACCAGCTCTGAATGGTACAAAGCAAAGTTTGACATTAATAAAACAAGGTGGTCTGTTACATAATGCTTCTTAAATATATTGAATATGATATTAAAGACATACAGTATATTAAGTCATAATATACTGATGACAAAGCTAAAACAAACACTAAGTAGTTTTAAAGTCTGCTCTTAAAACTTTTCATTCATGAGATTTGTTGTCTTCAACCATCAATGGAGAAATATAGTGTTTGTGTTGTTCCTTTTGTAGATGAGCACTGAATCCTTGGGCCTCATTTTCATCAGGGCTTCATTCATTGAGTCAGACACTTCAGACAATCCCATAGAACCCCAAAGACTTCTTACTTGTCTATGACTGTTATTTCCCCACTCTTTTTATCCCACTCTCTCCAGACATCTCTGAGCCTGCTCTTTCCCTACCTGTTTATCTTACATTGTTGCTTTCTAAATCTCTATTTTTTATTTTGTTCCCCTTGTGGTTAATTTCACTTGTAACCGTCAGTCTCTTTCTGTGTTTACCAACATATATCTCAAGACATTTTTGTGCCTCTGGAAGTCAGAGGGCAGCCACAAGAGTAAGGACTCCAAAAATGCCCCCTCATATGTATTCCTCCTCACTAATACAAGTATATGAACACCCTCTTCCCCTCTAACTTCAAGTATTGTATTCACCTTCCTCCTCGAGCTCCACATAACATTACCCTTCACTAGTTTGTCTTTCCTTATCCCCCTTCACCCCCACCCTTCCCTTTTCATACATCCTATTAATTATAATAAATAATAGTGTAAGGCAGTGGAGACCGAGTCACTTATTCGAGAACCAAATCATATTTCTCATTTAAATAAACGTATCGAGCAAAAGTGTGGAGATATTTATTAACTTCGATGTTTGGAGAATATTTTGTACACAACCCCATCCTCAAATGTATGAAAAGGTTAATGGGTTATAGTAAGAGACTTTCCTAATATGTTATACAGTTTATAAGAAAAGAGATCCTAGCTAACATTTCCTGATACTGCTGAAAGATCCTTGGTTTAAAAATTTGCAGTTACATTTCTTGATGCTTAGCTGTAAGTGACAGATGACTTAAATGATTATGAGAGAGAGAGAGAGAGAGTCATTTACTTTTATATTGCCCTCCAAAATAGTTTTCCCTAATCAACCAAACAGTACCAAAGCTTTGTGCACAAGGCAGCAATATATGAAGTAAAGCCTTACATTTTTGGGTGTTATAAGATATGTTACACTAATAATCCTAATTTAATTCTTGTTTTCATCCATTCCAACAATTTGAAAGTGGAGTAAAATAAAAATGCGAATTATTTAAAATACACTTGTGGACCTGCCAAGCATGACTTAATAACTGTGATAATATTTGCTGTATGAATTACAATGATAGCTACTGACTAGGAACACATACCAGCAACCACAAAATAAATGATATCATACTGTACACTTGTGGACAATATTCCATCAACACCTGGCAACATTCTATGTCCACATGTGGGTAATATATGTGTTCCTAGTTAATAACTGGTGCACGCTGTAATTAATTTTAAATCTTATCAGAATAACTCGAGAAAAAATTACTGTATACTGTATTATACAAAATACAGAAAATCCAAGTGAACACAAGTTACAATCACAATCCATTTATTTTAGTACTGTACATTATTTCTTTTTATTCTCAAGTCATTGACTTTGTAGTGTTTTGAGAAACAAAAGACCAGCTATTATTAGTATATGGTCCTAAGTAGAAGCCAAACATTGCTAAATGTCCAAGAAATTTTGCCCACAATCATATATGATGTTACAAGTCATACAAAAACTCAATTTAACCCAATCTCAACAGCATGGAGTCATTTGTTCTTCACAGCTATGTCTTGCATAATAAAGAAGTATTGCATACTCAAAATATGATCTTTTCATTAATAAAATTTGAACATGTTATCAAACATAAGAAAGGAGTGGCTACAAAACCTCTACAACAGACAGCTGGCACCCTTGAGTACTTCCTGTGATACTTCATGGTGATTGGGCAACAAAATCAGTCAATCTTTTCCATATTTGACAACTTCTTACCAATGAATATTTTTCCACGGCACTCAATGTTGTAAGAACAAACAACTACAGGGTACATGCATATATTTCATTGAGATTAATCTGGCAAATCTAGGGAAATACTTTTACCAAAGGTTATGGATAAGAATAATACTCTAATAACAATAGACATGGTAACAAGTATAAACAATAATGGTGATAATAGTTATAATGATAATATAAAAATAATTAGAATACCTTTGATGAACATGAGTAAAAAATCTGAGGAACATTTCATAATTGCAGCCAACACCAACGTCAAGACACTGTTCCCCTACACGTAATGCCATTCCACTGCAAAAGAACATATGCTTTCCTTCATAATGAAAAGTAATTATAAGTCTTCACCCTTTAAGAATGGATTAAGAAATTATTCCTAACACAATATCATATTTAACTATATCAGCTGTCATGCTGTACCTGTGATTTACAAGAGATAGTGAGCATGTGTGTGTGTTTAATATATATTTTTTTTTATACAAGGTTCAAATCTGAAGATGTTGACCCCCTTCATGTGTTTTGACTAGGTACTTAATATGTAATTCCTTTACACTTTCCATGTTGATGATTGATACATGAATCAAGAACAATTTATATGATATATTTCCTATGAGGTATATCAATCAATTTAAAATAGGCAGTTTTACTGGCTACTGGTGAGATATGATTTAACATGATAAAACTTCAAGAAAAACCTTATAAGGTTTGCTAACAGCTAGATTCTGATATAAAATAAGTGCACATTGATTAAAAAAGGACTAAAATATAATTTCACCAAGTTGTGGCACTGTTTTTCTGGTTATAAATGCAGTAGTATGTCTGAACATTATCATGAAAACCATGATGCATTAGGATATTCAGAATACTCATAAAAATAGAGAAAATGAAACTGAAACCACAGTGAATATAATTTATAACTTGAAACACTGTGCAGTGCAAGACTACCTGTGTATACTGTATCATGTAGTATAATTGCCATGCTAACTCACTGAGTTGGATGGGCATGTAGCAATGAAGAGATTAAGAAACATATTAATCCTCATTTCTACATGTTTCCTAACTCACACACATACCATGATAAACATAAAAAAAAAGTTGCCTAACTCACTGCTGCCTGTTTTTAAAAAATAGGTATTTTGATGGGTGTCAACACTGGTGTGACAAGTATGGTGGATTAGATCTGTGTTTTGTGGGTAAAATAGAAAGTTTGAACTTAGCACCTAATATGATACAATCTATCAACCCATGATTCTTGAATAAATTAGGTGCTGAGGCTTTGAGTTAGGGACATGTCATCTATTCCAAAAGATTATGTAATGAAAGGTTTTAAAGCTATTAACAGGGCCCCCTTTGGTGAACTTAAATAAACACTTTCTCCTTGGGAGCCATCACCCAATTCCATCTGGGGATTATGACACCCACTGTTGAAATTTACAAAAACTACTAAGATATACCTCTCATAAATAATGTCACACCAATATAAAATGGTGACTACACCCCTGATTCTTAGGGATATATTACTAAGTTCTGTGCCATTCGTTGTTCAAACAATATATATATACACTTGAGACTTGACCACATCTTTGTTTGCTACATCAGATCACAGACAATTTGTTCTTTTGGTGGTAAATTTTTTTTTATACAGTACAGCAAATACTTATCAACATTGCTTCTTGGTCACAACCAGCTAGTGAGAGGAAATATATACTGAAACAATGGTCAAAACAAAAAATAAAGTTCATGTACAGTCATCCAAAGATGCACCGACCCCACCCTGGGTCTTGTGTTCGCAAGTTTACCAGGCAACACTTGGTAAAGGAAGGCTGCATGTAAAGGTGATTGTGATGGTGGATCTGTTTTTGGCTGTATCAATGTCAGGATAAATATTTAACAAACCAAGGTAACATTTTTATAATAATAAACTATTCATTGTTATTTGAGGTCATGAGAAGTTTCAAAATTTTTGTATATTTGCTTAAATAATGAAGAAAATTATATTAATGATTTGGCAACTCAAGTACAACCACAGCTGCCACAAGATTTGCACATCAAATTTTATTCATTATTTAAACAAATATCTGAACATTTGGAAACTTCTCATGACCTCAAATAACAATGAATAGTTTATTATTATAAAAATGTTACCTTGGTTTGTTAAATATTTATCCTGACATTGATACAGCCAAAAACAGATCCACCATCACAATCACCTTTACATGCAGCCTTCCTTTACCAAGTGTTGCCAGGTAAAATTGTGAGCACAAGACCCAGGGTGGGGTCGGTGCATCTTTGGCCGACTGTACATCTGTACATGGGTAAAATATATCCTAAAAGAGAAATATATACTGCATATGAGTGTGTGTGCATAAATAAATAAAAAGTGCCAGATACTGTATATCAAAGAAGTGTTGGTGTCAAATCTATTCATCAAGGCCTCCCCTAGCCAGAGACCAAAGGTATTTGGAACAGGAAGGTTTGAAGTCTTAATGGGGGCCCAAATTTAAGTAAATTTTGGGACTTTTATATAATGAATACAGTATCCAGAAATTACACAAGGAACCAAAAGTATCTTTTTATCACACTGGCTGTACACCAATTAATTAGGTTAGGGGAGAATTTACTGTGTTACTTGTCCAGAGTAACACTACACCACAAATTTGGAAATTTGCAGAATCTAGATCCTCCTTCCTCTTGATGGCAATTGATAGTATTACTTACAAATGTCATGAAGCTCACTGATGAACATATTAAAACACTGCAACACAAAAGTCAGAGATGAAAAAAGGAGTATTAAGTTTCTGTATTCAGAGTCTTGACAAGAGCATGTGATAAATGTCTAAATCAAAACATTAGTACAGTATTATATAATTTGGTTAACTCTTTGATTGATTATAATAAAAAATCCATCAAACAACTTAAAGAATGTGAGATGAAATTAGATAAAACCTTTAATAGTCAAAGTCAACATGCAGCTATATATTGTTTGGTAAGAATAAATTATCTCCTTTAACAGTAAAGGAGTGGAGTGTCTAAAAGAATACATTGGTATTCTTTACATTCTCTCTGGCTCTAAGTCATCATCAGAGTAGTCATCATCAACTAGTGAGGCACCAGCACGACTTGAGAAATCAAACTTGGAAGTTTTCGCAGGAGGGCTGAGGAGAGAGAGTTAAACCTGAGTAAATCACATTTGTGTACCTGTTTCCCTGTTCCACAAACACTGTAAAGTATAAAATATATGTATTTGTTATAAGTTTTCAAATGAAAAGTACCTCAGTACATTTACCAAAGTCACTACAGTAATATTGGCTGACTTGCCATTTACCTAGTATTAACTTTGAGGAGTCTGTTTGTGTTCCTGCTTTCTCACCTAGATAATTTTTTTTAGGTCAGTGAAGATTGCAAAAATAATACAGGCATATACTGTATAGTACAAGTAATGGCAATCTAAACTTGTTAGAAATAAAAGATGCCAAGGTAAAAGAGAGAGCTTGAGGGTATTAGACATCATACTAAAGTTGAAGTCCAACTGAATGTAGTACAGTAAAATCTTGTATTTTGCAAGTAATGTAGACTGGAAAAATTGTGCCAAATGCAAATGTACATAAACTAATGGGAAAAATAACAATATAGACTGGCCACTCTACATCAACCTCTGATTTTCCCATTTATAACCTCCAAATGATACAAATTCTGCTTTTATTGACTTGATTGTGGTTTCCGGAAACTAGTTTTTAGGCCTTCCTTAAATAATTTAATCACACACTGCTTATCCTGCATCGAGTACTTGGCAAACTTAACTCCCTTACGATAGTCCCGCTTCTCCTTTTCCTTATTTGGCCGCTTAGGTGGGTCTGTCCTACCCCCACCAGCACCAGTAGGACCCCCAGTAGAAGTAGAGGCCATTATCTTGACTCGACAGGTGGTAGCACCACCCAAAGAAGCACACAATAACAGCCCAGGTGGTCGTTAGGATGGCGCGGGCTACAACGCGATAGTTGCGTTCTTGTAAGCCTCCTTTCCGTTCACCACCGGCAAATTGATCACCAGAACGCTTCGTGGAAACATTCTTCTTACCTTGTCTTTCCGTATTCATTGCTAACACAACAAAATTGGAGAAAATAGCGAAAATCATGGAGTAAATGACAAAAACAGCACGATTCAACTGATCACATGATGTAAACAGAGAGCGCTGGTGTAAACTGTTATTAGTCCTCACTGTGAAACATTCTTTTTACTTATTCTTTTCATACAGTATTTATGGGTAACCGCTTAATTTTTCAAAAAAAAAAAAAAAAAAAAAAAACGAAATTTACAAAGTACCTCTCAAAAAACATTTCACAAACAAAAGACACGAATCAATTGAACATGTGATGTCAAACGTGAATTGTAAACATTGCATAACCCCGAGCCACGCTTAAAATGTTGACGATGGAATAGTGCTACAGCCAACATTTGTATCCGAAAGTACGCGTTTTACGAACAGCGTTCCCCTACTCATCAATCGCATTGCAACCAATTCGCGTTGACGAAACTTGCGTTGTAGCAGAAATGACTGTAATTGGTATGAGGGCTGTGACGTCATTGAAGACGGTGGGCAGCATGCAGCTTGCTGGATCTCGCAAAATTCACGATATTTTACGCCAAATATAAGACTTGGTTACATAAGGTAGTGCTCGCGAAATTCAAAAATGCGCAATATATGAGATCTTACTGTACAGTAATAAGACCTTCACCATGATCAGACCGAGGAGAAGATAATATTGAAGAACTTGAAAGGGAGAGAGATATATTGAATACAAGATGGTGCCTGTAGTAGTGAATACTGAAATGAGTTGGTACATGGAAGATATCTAAACAAATGGATAGGTAGGAGGTATCTAAGCAAGTAGACAGGTAAAGGCTATCTGAGGAATACAACAATATTACCTACCTGTTGCACTCTTCTGAGGAATGACTGATAGCTTTAGGAGACGATGGGGGTGATAGAGCACTCATGACAGAGTCTTTCTTCTCTGACAGGTACTGAGTCAGGCGTCCGTCACGGCCAAATAGCATCAAGAACGTGTCGATAAATTCCCGACTCTTCTCCTCCCACTTTGAGATCAGATCGGTACGCTTGCCCTCAATGTCTTCAATCATCTCTTTACCTTTCTTTTTAAGGTCATCTAACTTGTTCTGAAGCCTATATTTCTTCTCCTGAAAGGATTAATGTACATTCTTAAGCATGAAATTTGTATAGCAATATGATTTTGTCTTAATAATATAAAACTGCCTCTGCCACTAACATAAACAGAACACTCTTGATAATCATCCTCTTTAAACTGGATGTGTATTTTGATTTCTTTTTATATATCATTTAATGGACTTGAAAAGAGAAACCAACACCAAAATTCCCATTAGATGAGAATGAATTGCTTTTTCTTTTGACTGTTACCCATCGGGGTATCTGTTGACTTTTTTTATATTGTTGCAACTGAAACACAACAAAAACTCAATGTAAATCATACTAAACCCCAGATTTTAGACGGTGAACCTGTATAGTTCATGGTAAATGTACAATATTTCAACTTAATTATGAGTTAAATAGGCTTTTGCAGGATGCCTTGTGAACCTAACCACTAATTATAATAATGCCTACAAGAAATTAAGTTCCAAGTTGAACAAATGACTTATGAATGAAGTTTTGACATGCAAGCCATTTATAAAAAAATAATGAAAAGAAATTTTAACACAATAAATCTGTTCATACCATCAATTCCAAGTTAAGAAAATTAACCAATGACTTGATGTTTCAGTGAAACTTTTATCTTCACATAAAGTGCACGGTATGTAAATAAAGTTACTTCTCTAATGAAGCTGATAACAACTTAGCCCTTTAGCAGTGTCAACAGCTGGTTATATCTTACCCTCATGCTAGCCAAGTATCTTACTGACTTTCCTGCCTGGAATTGGATTTGGACTTTCTGGTTTTATAAAGCTGCAGGACCAACAACAAGTTATTTAAGAACATTTGAAGGCTGTGCGCAATGTGAGAGGTTGTAGCTGTGCTTAAGACGTTCCAGCAGGAGGGAGAACGGAAGCAGTTAGTCTCCTAGTGATGTATCCTTCATCATCTACCAGAGGGAGGGTTAATTCACCAACTCTGTCTTTTAAATGTGACACCTCCTTCTTCATCGCAATACTATGTATGAAAAACTAGTTTACATTATCATAATATGCACCAAGTCGACGATTAACATTGTTTATTTGCGTCGCTTCCATTAAAATGTCATCAACAAATTAGAGAAAAATTTCCTGTATAAGTTGTGCCAGTCCAATATATACAAGTAAAGTCATTATTACCAAAATGAGGAGCGAAATAATTAAAACCGTGCATCATAAATGTCAGGTGGTACCATTGTCATCAGCCGAGTGTTCTAAGTGGAAATGCCATGCCCCCCACCATTGAAATTAACTCGGTTGCATGTGTTAGGCCAACCAAGGAGTATCTTGCAAAAGACCCTAAACCAAGAGTGGAAAAAGTCCTGCAAGTTACACCCACCAAGAAATTGTAATCAATCTTGGTTTCATTTTGGTGAGTTCCTATGAGTCTGTGTTCCTTTAATTATCCATTTGAGCTTTGTACAGTTTTGTTTAACATTTGTCTCTAATATTTACTTAAGTGAAGTTTCAAGAATGTATCTCATCCATAATATGCAGGACACTTGTACAGGGTGTATTCTATACTGCCATACAATAACAGTATAAATTCCTGTTTGTGATCTGACTTATGTAACCAACACACTGTTCTTAATCGAGACAGGCCCTAACCCTTTGTAGGGAAGGGGGTTCTCTTTTTCTAAATAAATTTGTCTGGTATTAGCCAGAATAAAATGCCTAAGTGCACCTCTGCCCTACAAAGGGTTAATCGAGATAGGCCATAAACATAAAGAATAAAATTACAGTTACTTTCACATACATTAATATAAGAAACATTGAGATCCTTCGCACTGTAGCCACGAGCCAAGTTTCTTCTGACGTACACATCGTAGTCTTTAACTATGCGCGACACAACATCACTTGTGGATACCCCCTCTGTGCGCTCTGTAGAGATAAACATTCCCCGAGCCTTGATGTGTGCATAAACGTCAGTAGCACTTCCAGTTGTGTACGGGATATCATCGTGAGCAACAAAATCAATCTGAAAATATTTTTTTTTTACATATTTACTCACTACAAAATGAGGTAATGGACAATATTTTTACTCTATCAAACTTTCCCTGTTACATAATAGAGTGGCTGGAATCATGAACAAATGCACACTCACACACACACAATTCTCCCTTCATTCATTTCATTCTTACTGCTGTAACATATATTTTGTTTTGTTTCAATATTATCATTAAACAAACTGTGATCTTTCAATTATACTCAGTATACAGGTACAGTATATCTGCATTATAGAGGTTAGTGTACTTCTGACATTCAAAGGAAATGAGAAATGCAAAGTCTTCCAAAGGCATTATGACATTGGACATTACAAGTTTTGAGGCCAAAAGAGGATTCATCCTAGAACGAGGCATAAAGAGGATTCATCCTAGAACTATCTCGAATTGTCATTTTAATCAATTGAGAACAATACCAATTCCCTTGCATACAATTACTCAATACCCTTTAAATATGATGACCCTTGAGTAAGATAACATTGAACACCCAGGATCATTTTCTCAAACACAATCTATTCTTATTTCTTAGCAGAGTAAAAGTGGATCCAAAGTAATGTCTCTAGACTCATGAGTGGGTGGGCATGCATGAGACTCATCCTACTTCAGGAAGTGATGAAGGGGAATTAGTTTCTGATGTGCACAAAATAATTCACTCTTTTATGTTCCATCTGATGTGCGCAGTGCTTCTTTCTGCCTCTTCTTGTCTCCTATGTGCTTAATATTCAGGTGATCAGTGACTCAGGCACTTGAGGGAAGATCGTGTGTACAATACCAAGGTTTAACCATGTAATGTGGTGTAAATACCTGTAGTATTAATATAAAAAGAGAACAAGCACCATGAACAACACATATTACACCTTGTGTTTTTCCAAAAACTCGTCATCCAACGTCCACGGGGCATCTGGCACAACTTCATCAACATAACGACAGTGTCGTACAGCCTCATAACGTTCATCTTCAGTCATCACTGTCCGCCCCTTGCACTGGTGAGTAAGTGCATCACTGTTTACTGAAACACAACATGTATGAACATTAACATCTTGCAATAATGGGCAAAAAATTATTTTTACAAAAAGAATATCAGGGGCATAACATAGTACAAAGTGATTTTTATGAAGGTACACCTAATAACTGCATTTGACCATTTTATTGAATATGTGCAAGCTTAGTAATTCCCAATAGCTTGTTTAAAAACTTGCAGGGATTAAAGGAGTGTTGTAACTGATGTAAACTGTTATAATCTTTCTCTTTTGCAAGACCGTATATGTAATTTGGTTTACCCTTGTTTTTTAAGACAACCTAGAATCAATCCTCAACAATATGATATTTCCCAAGAACCTATTAACACCACGCTCTCTGCTCATTCATATAGAGTACTGTATACTGAGTGGGGGAACAGCTGGTGGGCCTGTGTGTATGGCTGAGAGTCCAGCATAAAAAGGCTGTGGGAATGTTGAAGCTGCCGGTAAAGAGGAGAATTACCGTATACAGGTTTGTTTGTTTTATTGCTAAGTTCACAGTAGTAAAAAATACCAACTAACTTCAATATCAAATACTGCACAGAACAGTATAGTACTCATAATTTATAATAAATATATAAAATAATGTTTTATTTCTTATTTCATATATTATACTGTACTTAAAATTATATACTGTACAGTACTGTACAGTACTTAGTTACAATAAGAAGAAAAAAACATTACTGGTTCAAAGTTAAGGTATTTTTTAAGATGACAAACTTACCGGTAACTGTTTTTTTTTAATTTTGGTGCTCGGCAGTTTGTGGTCCATAAAGACTTGTATATACAATACATATACTGTTCTGTTATTATTCATTACAGTATTAGGAAATGGTTAATTTAATATATATTAAGGAAAATAGCACTCAATCAAAATTATCTACAGTATATAAAAAATATAAAACTTATGCAGTAACTTTAGGTGATGTATCCATCAACACTGGCACCCTACTGTTTGTACACAGACAAGAGGTGGGTTAAGTACTAATACTCTGCTGTCTGTACAGAGGCAAGAGGTGGGTAAATGTACAGAGGCAAGAGGTGGGTAAATGTACAGAGGCAAGAGGTGGGTAAATGTACAGAGGCAGGAGGTGGGTAAATGTACAGAGGCAAGAGGTGGGTAAATGTACAGAGGCAAGAGGTGGGTAAATGTACAGAGGCAGGAGGTGGGTAAATGTACAGAGGCAGGAGGTGGGTAAATGTACAGAGGCAAGAGGTGGGTAAATGTACAGAGGCAAGAGGTGGGTAAATGTACAGAGGCAAGAGGTGGGTAAATGTACAGAGGCAAGAGGTGGGTAAATGTACAGAGGCAAGAGGTGGGTAAATGTACAGAGGCAAGAGGTGGGTAAATGTACAGAGGCAAGAGGTGGGTAAATGCATGAAAAAAAAAAAATTCCAGTAAGTGGCAGTGGTGTACTGTACACTTGTAAAGTATAATGATAAGTCTTAACCATTCCACAAGTTCTGTACAACATATACTATACACACATGTTAGACAACCTCAGGCCTCAACATAAACACCAGTTAACAATAAAAGTGAATATCTTCCATTAATAAGTAAGTTAATTAAAAACAATTGATAACAATGACTTTAGAGTGTCTGTGTTTCTAGATTTCAGCCACAATGTGCTGTAATAAGGAACTGTTTGCAAGAAAGAAAAAGGTACTGTACTCACCTCCAACAATAAGGTAGACATTGGGAAACAAATTTTTCGCCTGCATGAGTTGTCGAGCATGGCCTTGGTGGAATAGGTCATAGATACCGTCTGCGTAAACTCTGATTGGCCGCGGGGCACTTCCTGCTTTTGCCATCTCCAATGTAATCTTTTTAGTGTAATCACAGGCATCCCTGTCCCGCACAGCTTCTTCATCATCCGTAAAAGGGGCTGGTTTACAAATGGTCTGAAATGAATTACAGTATGAAAATCTATGTACAAAATAAATTAGATACATTAACTTCGACAGTTTCATCATATAAATTACAATGAAATTTGTGTTTTTTGTATACGTGCTGTACAAAATATCAAATACAATGGTTAAGTCAATAAGCAGTAAATAGACTTAAGAGAAAATATATCAATTCAAAATAATTCCCTAAAGATGTCTTTCTATCCATATGTTATACAAGAACACAAGTTATTAGTTCAAGCGTATGGTTCTGTGCATACTTATATCATGAGTACATCTGCAGCATGAGACTGGAAATCAAGTTTTTATATGTTGTTATAAGTCAAGTTTACCATTAAACCATACAAAGCAATACCCTTCCCTACGAAAAATTGGCTGAATATATCAGCAAATACTTTCCAAAAAATAAATTAATAAAACTAAAATTTTGAAAACACATAAATGAAACTTTGGTGACATACGTATAGTGTATAAAAACACTCACACACTTCATATATGTTCCGGATCTCATAACTTACCTCCTCACTCAGTTAGCCATTACAGTACTTAAGGCATCTTAGTCACTGATTCAACCTAGAACCTGGCTATAGAGTAAAGAATCAAAACAACATACAGTACAGGTATATACACAAGATTTCTTTGCAACAATATGGTACAAGACATTACAGTTTTCACAAATACTTTTGCTTCCACTTAAATTTAATTTATTATTGCTTCATCTTAATAACAGAGTAACATTAAAGGAACACAAAGATTTTTTCAAACAATAACAGCATACAGTACTTGTATAGTACAAGACTAAAAACAATCCGAAGGATCACTGAGCAATATCATATTACATCACCTTTACTTGTGTAACTTCTTTCACAGACAGAACACACTAACTGACCATCTCTCAGGGTTTGTCACCTCTGTCATAACATCACTCATCATAGTCCACTACACATACCATTACTGTAGTTGTGTTAAATTAGTAATCTTAGTCTTTGGAAAGGATGTCAACTTATTACATAAATAATTAAAGGAAATACAGTACAGTACTATTATATCTAATAAAGATTGTTCAATAGATAAATTAAATTTATTTAAAAGAAATTTGTCATCAAACCATGGTTGATCCAGAATTACTGTACCTTGTCACACATACTGTTCACCTCTAGCATGACCAATCTCTACTGTGTAAGATACTGTACTATACTGATATAATTCTCAATTTATATAATTTGATACAATTAGAGCTTACAGGGTACAAATTCTAATGACAATATTGATAAAGACAACAAGTGAATGAACTGATATACAGAACTTAATCAACAATAGACAGAATTTCATTTAATACCTTCCCTATATACAATGTGACTGGTTAAATGAGATACACAACTTCACCCTCAATGACAACCACAGTAACTAATATGAAGATGTAAGAAGGATGGCACGGCCTTGTTAATTACTGTATGTAATTAACCACAGATTGCACATGAAACAACCGAGAACAGTATCTTTAAGTAGAGTTTATTGATGCATGATGAAGCAGGCTATAACTAGTACAGTCATTGCCTGCTTCATGTACATTCTATGTACAGTACTGAAGTTTATAGATACTGTATGTACTTTTTATATGGTACCATGTGTATGACCGTACACACGTTTGTCCACACATTGCTCCACTATCATGCACTACCAGATGCTCTTTGATTGCTGCACATCCTTTGTGTTGTTTTGTTAGTTTTCCCTGGGAAGTGGTCAACGCTGGCTGCATTTAAATTGCACTCTACAGTATTTTGTATTGGGAACAAATATTTCATAATACAGTACCACTTCCTCAAACAACAAAATCAATTAAATCAACGGCAGTTAAATCACCTTCAAACTCTCCTGAAAGCCAGTGTGCAAGTGGATACAACAATTTAAAGTAAGAAACTTGTTTACTCTTCAAGTTTGAGTTTTACCCAAGTCATAGCCAACCCCTGTTGATATTTCATCATTTTGTCATTATTAGATGCAATTCAGAGTAAAACTGAAAACATAAATTTGGGGAAAAGAGGATCAGGCACATATTTCGATTTATTACATGGGTTTCTAGAGAAAATTAATGTCTACATTAACATATAGGTTTTCAGGAATGCATCATACAGCATGTGCTAAGCAGGTGCTGAATGTACAGAAGTATCACTGGTCAAGGATTTATTTTAATTTGTATGTGGGTGTCAAACCTCACTTACTGTCAGCCACAGTGGTGCTCTATAATCTGATACAGTACTGTACAGTAGGGAGTGACAGTTTTGCAAAAGTTTTCAAAATCAAGTGGCTTGGGTTGGATTATTTGTCTATCGGCCACGCTGGTTCCGAATATGTTTGAGTTTTTTACATCATTGCATTAGAAGGTTTGTGGATACTTTTGGGTTTGGCATGAAAAACGCGAAAAAACTGTAAATAATAAAGGGACTGGCAATGTGGCACAACCTGTTAAAATCAAGTTATTGAATTGGATTATTCGACTACTGTGTACACTGGTTCATAATATGCTATTGTTTTACAACTCAATGCGCTACAAATTATGCCGATATTTTTGCTGCAAGTCACCACATACGTATATTTCGAAAACCAGGGCCCAATATTACCAACGGCGTGGATTGAGTCTTCCCGCTCATGGAACATTACCAAACTCCGTAAATGTGCCAATGGCAGGCCAATGGCAATATTTACAGAGTTTGTTGAGGCTCCCTGGACGGGAATCCCTGAATTTATTCCACGGAATCTATTCACGCCGTTGGTAATATTCGTCCCAGGACTGATCAACGAATTCAGCCCAAGTAGCTTGACTTGGACAGTTAAGGACAAAATCTCAGTCCGTACTTTTGAATAAAATATTGTTCAATAGGTGGTGATATTGAAGTGCTGAAAGTTGTTTTTTCTGTGTTGTTTTGCAGTTAGTTCAAAGGGCCGCCACCAAGATGGGTCGTCCTAAGATTAGCAACACTCTCTGATCTTGCTCTCCTGTCGACCATAGCCTTGAACTCATTGTCATTGACATCCTTATAATCACTATCTTCTTCCTAAGCACTGTCATCCACTGCCGACACTTTACACGACATCCTCTCCATCTCCTCCTTACTCTTTGACCTCATCTTCTCAGTTTTCCTCTCTTCCTCAGCCCTTTTCTTTGCCCTCTTCGCTTCCTTCTCCCTCTCTTCTTTCAGCTTGGCAGTCACAATTTTGTCAACGCCATCAATGCAGCCCTCCCTTCCCGGTTTCCTCTGGGCTGCCAGGAAGCTTTTCTCTCGTTCGTGCACTTTGCTGTCGTCTGCCACATCAAACAACTTCTCAGCTATATCCTCGAACCTCATCTTCAGCTTCCCGTTCTTCGTTTTCTTCCTTTTCTGTTTCTGTCCATTTCCCTTCATCATCATCGTCTCCCTCCGCATCCTCCACAGGTCGTGGACTCTCATTTTCACCCTGATTTCAGAGATAGTGGGGACAGTGGCCTTCCTATACACATCCAGTACCTTCTCAGTCACCTTGTTGGTGGCATCCATATAATCAAAAGCATTTGTTCTTCTCCTTAACCTCTCGTTTTCTGCTTCATAAGCCAGGGCACTTCCAACTTCCTTGTTCAGAGGCAACTTGTTAGATGGCAGAGGCATCCGAACCCCGAACACCTTATCGTTACCCTGGCGCAGCTGAGTGTTGCTAATCTTAGGACGACCCATCTTGGTGGCGGCCCTTTGAACTAACTGCAAAACAACACAGAAAAAACAACTTTCAGCACTTCAATATCACCACCTATTGAATAATATTTTATTCAAAAGTACGGACTGAGATTTTGTCCTTAACTGTCCAAGTCAAGCTACTTGGGCTGAATTCGTTGATCAGTCCTGGGACGAATATTACCAACGGCGTGAATAGATTCCGTGGAATAAATTCAGGGCATTCCCGTCCAGGGAGCCTCAACAAACTCTGTAAATATTGCCATTGGCCTGCCATTGGCACATATACGGAGTTTGGTAATGTTCCATGAGCGGGAATGTCCTGAATTCATTCCACGGAATCTATCCACGCCGTTGGTAATATTGGGCCCTGGTTTTCGAAATATACGTATGTGGTGACTTGCAGCAAAAATATCGGCATAATTTGTAGCGCATTGAGTTGTAAAACAATAGCATATTATGAACCAGTGTACACAGTAGTCGAATAATCCAATTCAATAACTTGATTTTAACAGGTTGTGCCACATTGCCAGTCCCTTTATTATTTACAGTTTTTTCGCGTTTTTCATGCCAAACCCAAAAGTATCCACAAACCTTCTAATGCAATGATGTAAAAAACTCAAACATATTCGGAACCAGCGTGGCCGATAGACAAATAATCCAACCCAAGCCACTTGATTTTGAAAACTTTTGCAAAACTGTCACTCCCTACTGTACAGTATACCACATACAATCGCAACAAATGATTACTCCTCCCTTGGGAATTTGGTAATGTATAAGTTTTCAATTTTATTCAGTCACTATTGTAGAATACTAAATGAAATACTATACAATCACATTATAGTGAGGGTCAGATCCAGTCCATGGAACTAAGGTTCCCAATGCCTAATCTATAGGAGACTAAACTTGAAAGAAGAGCGAAATTTGAAAGTACACAAGTGAATTGGTGGTTGTGAATCATTAAAATTGGCTTGGTGAATGGCACAGATATGGAGGATTTGAGGAGTATTAAATCTTCACCTTGTACACTGCTCAAAATATTCTATGTAGCTAATTTCAACTCTTCACCACAGTAACCTGCTCTATGTAGTTGTAATTTTCAGAACAATATACCGATACAGTTCTGTACATATCAGATTCTGTGTGATAGTACTGTCACAATTACTTTCCAGACATAATGTTGGTACAGTACTTCCTCACATGGGTCACCTTTAGCATTCCATACAAGGTATAAATGCTTCTAAAAAACCCCAAAAAACTGGCCCTGCTTGTCTGTTTAAAACATCCCCCATAAGATCACTATTATACTGTATTATTAATAGATTAATATTTACCATATGATGCAATTCATCAATCACCAGCTTAAACCCAAAAATTTTCAGCACATCACCGTACACGAAAAATCATTGTCAACCTCCTATCATCTACTTCCCTTACAGTGGAGGTCCCTTCTTGTATCTATTTTCTTTCTTAAATTAATTACAACTCAAGAGTATGGACATTAAATATTTCCTAAAAATTAATTAATTAACATACAGTGTACGTACTGTATTCTTCCACTTGAGACTTACCTAAAGTTCTCTTCTCTTCATAATTTGCAGCATTTATACTACTAATACAATACTTGTATTTTAATCTTAACATTAATAACATATACAGTCAACCCTCGCTTTACGCGGTCCCACATTACGCGTTTCCACGTTTACGCGGTACCCTGCCGAAACCGGAATGCTCACATTCCGCGGAGCGTGTACCCCTTTACGCGGAGAGCGGCTGGCGAGCCGCGCCATTTTTGGATCCAAACCTCCCGCCCTCTCCCGCCATCCACCATGTTGTGTAAGCGGTGCGAGTAGGTTGCGCAGTGTGTGTCTTTGTTGCGTTATCAGTGACGTCATATGACGTATCAGACTGTAATTGGACCATGCATCCTTACCTCCTTCCGCCGCTAGCTGTGATTGGTTTAAAGTAATATGACGTGTCCACCCGCGGGAGGGAGGGAGGAAAGACGACGCTTGACCTAGCCGCGGCAGTTTCATCCCTCCAGGCCGCACCGTATAAACGTGCATCCATTGTTCTATAAAATGGCTTCCGCCGGACCACCGCCCCCAGAGAGAAACCTTTCCTTACCTGGACCCAGGTAAAAATGATGCTAGTTAGTATACACACTGCATCACAGTCTAAGTAATGCTGGCCGGTCGGGCTTGACGCTCATATTAGCAATTCAACTACAGGTACGCTGTCTTGTCCTATCCCTAGTAACGACGTTCCCACACTCCGCTCCCTCGCTCAACCTGCTAACTCTAGCACACAAAGAAATGTTTATTCCCTTCATGTTTTTTTACCTTACGGGAATATTTTTGTTATGTACTGTATGTAAGATTGTACAGTATGTGCATAGAGCTGAGTAAAAAAATAAATAAAAATGTATATCTAACTAAAATTACAAAAAATAAAATAAAACAGTAACCATAAGAAAGCATATAGCTCACAGATGGGGTACAGTATGGTCGGTAAGCCACAGTAAAAAGGAGCTTAATGGTAAGGATAACCTACTGCAAGGATGTACTGTACCAGTTACTGTAGCCATCATTCACAGTAAATGACCCATGAAAATACATAAAATTTTAGCCCTCAAAAATATTATACATCCAGTATACTGTAGTTTGACCCCCTACTTCTTGCATAAAATCTCAAACTTATTCAAGCATTATATGGTATAGCAAATATTTTCAACCACCATCACTCACAATTCTAATACTAAACTGCAATCTGTTTCAAAACTTCAAATACAGTTTTCCAATCTACCATTATCATTAAAATATGCAGCTATAAACTCAATTATTAATACTGTTTATGAAAACTTGACAGATGAGCTTAGTATGCACAGGGAATTAGAAAGACACATTATAAATCTAACTGGAGATATGAATTCACTTTGTAATTTGTGCAAGAGAGTTGAGAACATAAGCAAGTACAGTAAACCCCCGCTTTACGCGGTTTCACTTTACACGTTTTCACGTTTACGCGGTACCCTGCCAAAACCGGAATGCTCACTTTCCGCGGTGTGTGTACCCTTTTACGCGGAGAGCGGCGCGAGCAGGGTGCGCACAAGGTCGCCCAGTCATCAAAACATTACCGAGTTCTTCACCCGCCACCCACCACAGCCGGCCCAAGTCAGTGATAGTGATAATGATAGTGAGGATATGGACTTATATGGACTTTGAGGGGTTTGACAAAGAGGCCCTGCAAGCCTCTGTGGTGGATAGTGATACAATTGATACAAGTGATACAGGCGAGGGCCAATAATCTGCCCTCTGCCTCGGAACCAACCCCCCATCCCTGTGTCCCCAGCCATCTTTTCTACTAATGTAAGTGTTAAAAAGCCTAATATTATTGATATTTCTCTTAATTATTAATTGTGTATGCATACCATCATAAAATTAAGAAGTTATTTTTACTACAACGTAGGTATTGTGTCTGAAAAAGTGGAGTTTGGGGGTCGGCCCGGTCTCTATTTCAATTAATCCCATATGTTATGTTGTTCACTTTACGAGTTTCTCACTTTACGCGGGCCGCCGTGGGTTCAATTGACCGCGTAAAGTGAGGGTTCACTGTACAGTGTAGTATGTGTGTGTGGGGGGGATTTCTACTTACTAACACAGCTCTTTTCTGTTGCTTTCTACATTTACCTTGAATTTCTCTACCTTATCATTTCCTTCCTTCCTTTAAATTGGCTATAGCCCTGTTCAATCACACAAAAGTGGGAAATGGAAAACAAAAATGTAAATACACCGACAAAAAATATTAGATCTTACTTATACAGAAAAGTAGACTGCAATGGACCATGATCCTCTATTATAATACAGACAAGAAGAGCCACAGGTCCCCCAAAATAATAATGACCATCAACAGTACCTTGTTAGTGACATCTACACAATTAAATAAGTTTCACCAAAATACATTCCTCTTTTCTTAAGTCACACACAGCCTGGTTAATCAAAAATACATAACTCTGCTCTGTGCCTCAAGATATTTGAGTGTGTTAAGATGATTGATCACAGATTCAAGGTTACGTATATGCACATCAACTATCTATAACATGCACAATGTTATGTAATTTATTGTGATTTTTTCTTTGCAAGTTGTAACACACACACACACATACTGTTAGTAAATAATTTAATTCTTTTGACAATTTATGCATTTTTAGATATTAATTTCCACCTAGAAAATAAATACTGCACAAAGACATGATGGATACAAACTACACACAGTACAGTACAGCATATTACACAAGGAAAAATTAACACTGTATAAACTGCTTTATTAGTTTAGCACACCAAACAAAATTGCACAAACTACAGTACTGCCACTCAGCAGTTGTTTAAAGTATTATCCATAAACAATGTTATGGGCTTAACTAGAGTTTAATACTGTTCTGGTAATGCCAGACACAGAAAGAACACAAGTACCTTTCTCACGTACAACTTGTTACCCGGTAAAAGGTTATTTAATAAGGGAATACAAAATGCATTTTACACAGATAATTAGCTTTGTGGGTGAGTAAGTCACGCAGGACACGCAAAGTTTGCTTCTAAAGAGGATTACAGTGTGAAGACAACGTGGGTAGTATCTGAAGCTTTTGCAGGACTGCTTGTCTCATGGACAGGAAGCATAAGATGGGGGAAGGGTTGGTTGGCTGGACTTGTACAGTGTATGGGAATGCTTACCATATCCTTTTCAAGCTTGGCCAGAGACTCACAGCTAATATCAAGCTTCTCCCTCTCCTAGGGAAAGCCAAATATAATAATACAGTAATAATAATAAAAGTATTATTAATAATTTATAAGAAAATCAGGCTCATTGCCAAGTTACGTATAAAACTGTAACAACAAAATATTATCCTAATTACCTCTGGTGAACCATACCACAAACTGAGTATCTGCTGATGACCAAATATGAGACATTCCCTTTCATGAAAAAATGAAACATTTATGGAGAAATCAACAGAAAACAATTAACAATGTGGAGGCTAATCTACAAACTAAATGATGTTGGGGCAATAATGTAATCATTGCCATAATTTTTCACTACCATACATGTACAGTACAGTCCAATAATGGGCAACTGATCCTGATATTCCATTATAAATGAACCTGAACCAAACACTGTGTGTCTATTACTCACCAAGTCTTAGAGTTGAAAACCCAAGTAAACCCTTAACATCAGCAGCCAAGACTAATCCACTGATCAGTTACATCGCTCTTTCTCTCCACTGTAAGCAAATTTATTTTGAAGGCAACTTGGAAGCAAAAATCATCACTTAATAAACCCTTAAGCCCCGGGTTAGGGTGCTGCAGGCAGTCCCCCCCCACCCCGGGGTTAAATCAAGAAAAAAAATGTACTTTTCCAAAAATAATAATAAAAAAAAGGCGGGAAAATAGGCGGATGTTCTGGAACGTCATCCAGGGCCTAAGGGTTAAGGTTGGAGATTATTGAGTTGTGACATCACACTTGGCATGTACACCACAACTGTCAATTGAGACTTTGCCATAATCTGTCATTTAAGTTCTATCCTCAGTTCCAGCCAAGTTTGTTGTTAACTAGCTAGATACTCGGAGGAGTATGACACAAATAAAGTCAAGAGCGCTAGTGTAACATGTACCCCACACGGAAAGTTAAGCCTGCTAAATACAAACTCCAGTACCACACAGTACATGGAAGTACGGTAGTTTTTTTTTCTAACCATCTTGTAATAAAACTTTTGGCTGTGGACCATGTGCCTCTGAAGGATCAATTTACAGACATGTTTCTCAGGAAGACCACTGAAAATGCAATGCTCCTGAGATCAAGAGCCTAAGGAGTAGAATCTTGAGAGCTTTAAACTTTGACTAACAATCCAAGAGAAGAGATTGTTAATTAAAAGGTTCTTTAGTCACTTTAATATTTTATTTGGCTAACACCAGACAAATTTATTCAGCACAGAAAGGACCCTATACACAAGAGGTTAAGAAAAACTCTAATCATGATTTCTGCAAAACAACCGAGATAGATAAGAAATTACTACACCTTTCCCATTGTTTATCTCAAAAGCTGTAAATAATTCTGAAAAAGAATGAACTACTGTAACTGTGAGGGAGAAGGAGATATTACCTGCTTCACTAACACAAACAACTCCAACTATTAACAGAATCTCTAAAAACACCTTTCAAGGAGGAGGCAGCAATAAAAGTTTCTGAACTTCCCTTACTCACAGAGGGAACTCTTGAAATCCTCTCAGCCAACAATCCTGCCTAAAATGGAGTGAGAATCATTGACTTCTGGAGTATGAGCACCTACCATAATCATTACTGTGAGGGTAATTCTGAGCTAAAAATAAAAGTTTCTTCCTGAGAAAGACTTCATCTTTTCCTTATCCCCATGTAATGACTGAACACTTGTAGAGGGTGTATTCTCCTGAGGCCGGGTCACAACTCTTACAGACTGAGACGACACAACCAAGTTAAGTTCCTGAATGGTTACACTGTACTTTACTATCCCTACCTGTTTCTGATGAAACAAGCACAACAAATGGGGTTAAAGTGGATTAAAAGTGAGCAGAAAAGTCACTGGGAAAGAATGGCATCCTCAGTGAATAAATAGGTTTCCTAAACATCCAACCATCAACTTTAAAAGATAAAATTTTCAACACATTAAACAATTAAGAAGAGAACTTCTCATATATACAGTACATGACTTCCTGCTATCAATCCCATGACAAGTATCATAAATCTGTCACTTAACCCAAGAGAGGGTCCCATATAGAAGATATTCCAGTGAAACACCCGAGAGAATGGCAATAAAGCTGAGGACTCTTAGTATTTCTTATTATACTGGACCCAAAATATTCCCCTTCCAGACTTCAAACTTGAGTTGTCTTGAAGAGAGGGAACTGAACATTAAAGAGTTCTTACATCAAGATCCTTCTTTGCCAACTGTTGGACCTGTTGAGCCTTTTAACCCTGAAGGGGCAGCAGACATCATAAGATGTTTAAGTTTTTCGAGCCATCGTTTGGGTGTGGTAGTGGCTGTGTTGTCGTCTGGTTACTATGACGACACTGGCGGCTCGCTTCAGAGCCGGAAAAAAATTTATTCCTAGTTCAACTCGAGATTTCTCCAGGATACTATTATTTATCACATTTATTGACTAAATATTAATTTGTAGAAAAAAAAGTCAGCTTTCTAATGGTGTCAAAAAAGAATAAAAATAAATAGATAAAAAAATTAAATAAACTATCTCATTTAGGGTGTCTTCTACATGTATGTGAACAACATAATCATACACAACTTGCTCTGTTTTCTATGAAGCAAACTACTGTATACTCTGTTCTGGGCGGAGAGTGCACGTAAATTTACCTGCCCTTTAAGAGTTCATGTTCTAATAGCTTTTTCCACAAAAAAGGTGGGACGGCCTCCTTAACCCTTAGATGGCAGGTAAGAATTCCCTAATCTGTTCCACTTGTAAAAAAATTGGAATGCAAGGAACATGAAACATCCATTGCTGTTGGCCACAACAAGAATGATCACAATCCTCCTCAAAATGCTTCCACATTCTAACTCCTTGCACAACCCTTTCTACAGTAAAACCTGCAGGATGGAGGTACAAATGTTTTAATCAAAACATTCTGTGTACCACAAGTTACAATTCTCCATCCTTTACTGAACACTGAGAGAGCTGACTCAGGACCAGCTGAGAAACAGCACCAAAATCCAATTCTCCCCAAAATGATGAGTCTGATAAGTGGAAGCCTTCCCTTCTCTCTGAGACTATTCCACAGAACTATAATCGCATTAACCTCTCAACTCCAGCGTCTATAAACTCAGGAGGAAAGAGAAAATTTACCAGTTAGAAGAGCTGATTGAGGAGACCAAACATTTGCATCTGTTTATTGATTTTACCCCAATTACATATTCCTAGATCTGGGGCGGTTTACCTCAGAAATATTTGGATAGCCAAGGAATTAACTTGAGCTAAATTATTGTCAAGCACACTCATTAGGGTCTAAGTAGTCCAAAGCACAACAAACAGTACTGTATATCATAAACTGGACAATGTGACTGTAGCCAGCATTGAGAAGCCTCTTATACCTCAAGGCACGTCAAGTCGACTCATTTGAAAACTGTTCACAATCAAGAGTTCCTAAAAACCAAAATCCCAATTGACAATATTCACAATTATGCAAGCAAAAAAAAAAAAACTGCCAAGTAAGCATCATAATAATGCAGGGTTTACCTGAGTTTTAACCCTGTACACTAATAGTGGGTAATACATGCAACTTGCCTTGGCCAGGCATTATGTTACAAACAATGACTATTTCTATAACAAATCTATATAAATTACTTAAGAGACATACCATTCAATTATGTCACAAAATACCAACACACATCATATTACACAACGAAGTCATACAGCAGCAGCACACACACTACACACTTAAAGTCTTTTAACACATTTACCTTCCAGCTACAATGACACTTAAAAAATCAAAACAGTCACAGGATAACACTACTTTTAACATTATACAGGACAATGCATGATGCCAAGACATGGTTTTTCTCATCTGAAGTAAGCAATTTAGACATCATCAAGATTTGGCACAGAGATTCAAGTGCACCCCAGAAGTGTCATGAAGGTGGATTATGTTTTATCCCAGTAGTAAAATTTGGTATGATATATAAATAGCCCCAAGAATGTTCATGAACATTTAAATTGACTACTTAACAAAACTGGGTAATGCCATGTACTCCAGCTAGTAAACAATACTGTATAGCACACCGCATAACCTTAGGTCACTTTTCTGTCAAAATGAAAACAAATTACCCCCGGTAGTTGAAATTTTACAGTGGTATTGTCTGAAGAAAAAAATGCTTGAAATGAGAGGAAATTTATTGATTTTGGGTGTTCAATCCAAGATATCGCATTAAATACTGTACAGTACTTTACTTTGAAATAAATTGATTGAGGCAGTTGAGGTTTCTATTGAAAAGAAAAACCTCCCTCCCCCAAAAAAAATCCCAAAATTGTCTCTGGGAACTGCATTACAATATACAATAAAGCCAGAAGCCACATCACATTGTTTCATCACATTGGAAATTCAAGTGTGGATGAATGATTGTAGTCACTCTAGTAGCATTACACCACAAAATGCCACTTCTTTGAAAATATCTCTTAGAGGATTTCGGAAAAATTATCAATATGTACTGGCCAGAGTGCAGACAATTAATTACTAAGCAGGACCCACTTATAGGGTTCTGATTCCTGCTACAGTATAATTAAAATTATTATAAAATAATCTTGCAAAAGACAACTTGTACGTTAAGGATGAACGAAAAGGTAGACGTGAAACATCAGAATACATCAACATCTGACTGTGCCCAACATGTTGAACAACCTTAACTGAGGACAGCACCAAAGATAACATTACTATGGATGGAGTCAACAACTAGTACATGAGTGTACAGGACTGTGTTTACATATGCCAAAACCTACACTACACTACACTGCTGACTGAACTACGGTACCACCTGTGTAAAAGGTAAGGAGATAACTAGTACACCCATATAAGATACATGTCTACAAATGCCCTCATATCCATACCTCTATTTTTTTTACTACACCTATAATATAATCCACTAATCTTGGTATAGTTATGGAGATGATAAGTAAAATTCTTCAAACTGCATAATCAACAACTCAGAAATGTAGGTGGCAGAATTTTTAGATTTGAGTGTGAGCGATACAAGTCATTGGCTTTCCTTCCTGCATATATATACATATAAGCCAAGGTGGTGCATGCAAATAGCATTCCCGAAACGTTTAAATTTCAGTTTATCCCCAAATTTCAGTTTATCCCCAAATTTCAGCATTTTCCTTCAGATTTCATACAGTCACATGTAACCCCTTGAAGATGGAGATAAGCTGGGTAGTATGGTGCATTTTCAATCCAACACATTTAAGCAAAATCATGCTTGTATTCTGTTAAAAGAAGTCTTCACTGTAAGTCTTATATCTACATCACTCATATTTTTCTGTGGAGCAAGCAATTATAAAAGAGACTCAAGTGACCACAAATCTTTATCATACCAATTTTCATGGGGACAACATTTTGAATCAACAAAGGTGCACATCAACAAATATGATTGTTTAAATTTGCTGAGCATTTTCAGAGCATCTACAATTCAAAAGTTTGATATAAAGTGAGGAAACCGTACCCCAAGTCGAGGAAGTGCCGCGAAGGCCTGCTGGTGAGAGCGCTTCATTCTGCCAGATGAGGTTTTCCCTCCTTTTGTCTGTGAGGGAATAGCCACTTGAAATGAGTAGCCTGTTTCTGCTATCTTACCACAACAAAAATAAATATATTATAAGAAAAAATCAAAGAGCACTGTTGTATAATTATACAAACGTTTTAGCTAATAACTGTACGCACAAAATGTATTTATAATTACTGTACTAATTAGAGTATAATTAAACTACTGTACTAGTTTAGAAGAACAAATTATAGTGTAAAAGTATAAGGTTACTAATCTACGCTCAATCTAATCTGCCAAGTTAACTTTAACACTGCAAGGAAACAAATTCAGGTTACTAAATTTATGAAAACTGGTAAAGTCACTCAATTTCAAATATTATATAAGCAATGATCTCTGGGCCCAAAGTCATGAAATAATAGATTAATTTAACAATCATAAATAAGAGAGGAATAGAAGTTTCTAATGAAATCAATGTGAGTTTCTCATTGTACTCATAACAGCAACAATTGAAAAAAAACAGTACACATATATGTACATGCACAAACCCCAATGCTGACAAGCAGACGCATAAAGCTACAAAACTTATATACTAATGTTAGTGTTGTGTCTGCTATACTAAAGATACATCTAGAAACTAAAGAACTAATGAAATTTACATTGACCTTATCAGTGAAACAGAGAATGTTACTTCTACAAACATGTTATGTAAGAACACTGAAAAGTTTAAATTCAGAGAGGAGTATGTCAAGGTGAGACCATTGTTCCAAGGTTCTTTAGAGCAGTATTGTACCAAAAGAAATTGAGCTTCACTTACACTGAGGTAATGCCCTAGTAGTGTTCTTTTTTCTAACATTTATCTTTCCTTGGTTCTCTGAGTAGCCAGAGATTTTTACTCTTGTATTAAACTGTCATGTTTCACATCAATGAGCAAACACTGGGAGCACCTTGCACTTATCAAGTACAGTACTGTACTGTATTTTCACGGTCAGACTAAGGATATTTCTTCTGAATATATATGAATTAGTTTTCAAAGGCATTCCACCCTTTATTCAATTATTTTACTTATTATTCGGTGGCTCCTACTACCCAAAATATTTACATCCCATGACTTCCTCTACCTTAAAACTGATGACCTATACTGTGTAAGGCTGAGAGTTTGTGAATGTGATCAATACTGTATTAATTTAGTTCAGTTTAAGTTTATTTTCAAAACTGTATATTTTTTCTATTCATGTCTTATATTAAATTCTGCAATTCTTGAGGTTACAATATATCTAATTACAAAGTGCTACAGTGGATGAAATAGTAAAAACACTGATAGTTTTGTGCATCTCAGACAAGAGGCAATTAAAGTTATTGGAGGTCTCATGAAGAAGTCTAGTTAGTAAACATATAGACTTGTTTAAAAGACTAGTACAGTACGTACTGTATTCCTGATCTAGTGGGATGCTGGGCAATACAGTATGTTGGTGTATTGTCATGCTTCCTTTTACCTATATTCCACTTCTCAGAGGCAGAGTAGTGTGTAACTCACTTCTTTAATTAGTGTTTCAATTTACTCCACTGTAGTACCTTATATTTCTTCACTTTTCATTTTGAACGCAGTGACAACTCGTTCTTTTCTTTCACATATTTACATTACCTTTTTTTTCCTTTATAACAAATACAGTACAATACAGTGAATGGTATAAAGGTATTCCTCAGTTAACACACACTCGAACTACAGTTTTTACACTATTAAACTATCAGGGAACTTTTCACAAAATACGATGTTTCCCATTTTTTCTTTTTTTATAATTTTCGCCACTTATCAGCTTACTAGCCATTCGGGCGGTCTATCCAGTGTTAGTACAGTAGGAAACCAGGGATTGGAAAAACCTATGATGTTTCATAGGGTCACACTGGATAACACCCTTCTCACCTGTGTCCGAACCAAGGCTCAAACCCTTGATACACTGGTGAGAGTTACGTGCGTTACCGCTGTACCACCAACCTCTTTGACACAATCGATAGACGAACATATTCTGGGTATGCCCTGGACAAAGTTCTTTATGTTGCAGAACTCCCCTACAGTACTCAGTTCAGCCCTGACTGCCATTCACCTTGTATACGTGTCATATTGGTTCATTAAACTTTTCTTTAAGTAATTTACCAATAACATTCCTTAAAATCCCGAGTGCAAAGTCAGCACTATGTGACAAGAGTTATTCTGTGCCCAAAATACAAAGGAAGTCTATTTTATCAGAGGTGAAAATGGAAGCAACAAAGTAACAGAGCTGAATGAACTACAAGAGCAGTATGAGAAGGCAGCTGTTTGCATGCTGGCTAGCAAAGAGTGTCAACAACATGTAACTGAGACAACAACCACACACACAACTTGACCCTATACATACAGTATGCAGCCCACAAAATAATGTTATAAGAACAAATAGATAAAACACAAGGAACCATAAGGGACTGCAATGCACAAAGCAGCCAAATTTGTAAACCAAAGCCTTTAAACCTGAAAGTGTTAAGGACATTTGAATTAATAAATCTAATCTGATTTAATTTACCGGTATGTGTAAATACAGTACTGTATTATGCACACAGTGTAATATGTTATTATCTATTGCACATGATCTCTTTGAAATATTTACAAGTTCACAACTTTTTACAGTGCATGATGGTCTTTCGGAACGTATCTATCAAGGTAAGCAAGGAATACATGTACTGTATACCTGAATTTCATTCCGGCAATATTAAGTATGGAAAATGGCTTACCCTTTTTTTCTAATTTTACAAGTAGTAATTATGCAATGAAATTGTCTCAATTACTTGTTTGGTCCACCTAGAACTTTCACTTGATATCTAACAGTATGTGAAGTGATCCCCAACGAAGCACTGTACAGTATTTAAATATCACAGACTGCTACTGTACAAGCCCACAGTCTGGAAAGCTCATATCCAAAGGATATAAAAATTCTTGACGTTATATAAATAAAATAGATAAATTATAAAACATTAAAACCTTCGAGTTTCCCTTAAAAAAAAAAAACTCTTTTGACTTATACTAAATTGTATTAATGACAGTGTGTCTGGCATGAAGAATTAAATTTTTACCAAGGGATGTTATCAAGTCTCCTGCTCAACGATGACAGAGTGCATTTAAGCAAGGAAATTCTATGTCACAACTGTCATCATTACTGATGGCTGGCTCACTGAGTGAACTTAGTTCTTAGAAACACTTGACCATTGCATCATTATTATGAATTATGACTCTTATCGGCTTAAAAAAGCTTATGTTATCATGCTCTGATATTCGGTATTTAAGAATGTATTTAAAAGCAATACCACACAGGACCCGACTCCTAGCACTCTTGGTAATTCTGTGGAACTCTGGGAAATTTTAACCGTGGAGTCCCGGACTCTCAAAAATTCTGCACTAATAATTCTAAAAAATGAGTCATTTAATGTCAACATTCATGTACAGTTACATCACCATACACATATACAACAATGAAAAACATTAAAACAAGCACTCCTACAGTTTTGGGTCTGGATACTCAAACATCCAAGCCTTAATCTTACTGTCAAACGTTACATAAGGTGGATATGTAATTACAATCTGACAACGCTAATTCCCACTAAATTTTGACATACCAGTACCTATTCTTGAGCATTTGGACCCAATACTTTTGTGAACATCAAGTACCAAGGGTTGAAACAGTTCAGAAAAGGTGATTAGCAAATTAGGTGGGCAATGATGAATAAATATAAAACAATGTTCTCTAATTCTAACCTACTATGATATGCACTCTAGTGAATCCTGTATATTGTCAAGTGCAACACAGCTGCAATTATAGCACACCTTGTGTAAACATTATGTACCGTATATACTAACTATTACAGCACTATCCACCCAAGTCCAAAAACAGGAACAATCAAAACTTCCTACTTACCACTTCCAGCAGTAACAACCAAATGATAGTAAATGTTCAATTCTACCTCATGTTGCTGCCAAGATAGTGGCTGTAATATACACATCAGCCTCATGATAAGGTGAAACAGGCCACAGTCAAAAGTCCACTGACATCAGTGTGTCAAGGGCATTACTCACCCACACACTTATCTCTTATAAACATAGCATTTCAAGGCAAATATTTTCTTAATCGGCCTACAACACAAAAAACACTATCAGTTTTACCTAAAATACAAGGAAAAGATGTGGAAATACAATAATGCTTAACAGAATTCAAGTGAAACAGCAATAACTTTACTTGAAGTAATGGCTAAAAGAATGTTGGTTATAAAAAAAAAACATGAATAACCAGTTGACACAGTCACAAAACAGATGTAGTGTACCATTACATGCTTTAACAAGCTGTCCTGAGGCATAAGTAGGTATGGCAGCTTAGAACCAGAGAGCAGCAAGGCTCTAGCAGACTGGAGTCTCAGGTAGGTACTGTATTGGGGCTTTATCAGACTAATATACAGTAAAAAAAAAAATAAAAATAAAAATAAAAAATAATAATAATAATAAATAATATATATATATATATATATATATATATATATATATATATATATATATATATATATATATATATATATATATATATATATATATATATATATATATATACACATACAGTATATGCAAGTAAATCACTGTAGGTGCACGTGATCTAGGTATATGCTGATAACCACAAGGAAAGAAGAAAACACGAAGTTCCCAAGCGCTTCAGGGGTGAGTACAGACTGTACTCACCCCTGAAGATGTGAATTACACGAAAGCGCTTGGGAACTTCGTGTTTTCTTCTTTCCTTGTGGTTATCAGCATATATATATATATATATATATATACAGTATTACCCCGACTAACGCGGTTTCACTTAACGCGTTTTATCATATACGCGGTGCCTCGCCAGAGCTGAACTTTCACTTAACGCGGAATTTTTCATCATATACGCGGGAAGCGGCGCGGGCACGATGCGCACAAGGTCGCCCAGTCATCAAAACATTACCGAGTTCTTCACCCGCCACCCACCACAGCCGGCCCAAGTCAGTGATAGTGATAATTATAGTGAGGATATGGACTTATATGGCCTTTGAGGGGTTTGACAAAGAGGCCCTGCAAGCCTCTGTGGTGGATAGTGATACAATTGATACAAGTGATACAGGTGAGGGCCAATAATCTGCCCTCTGCCTCGGAACCAACCCCCCATCCCCGTGTGCCCAGCCATCTTTTCTACTAATGCAAGTGTTAAAAAACCTAATATTATTGATATTTCTCTTAATTATTAATTGTGTGTGCATACCATCATAAAGTTAAGATAAAATTTTTACTACAACATAGTTGTGTGTCAAAAAGTGGAGTTTGGGGGTCGGGCCAGTCTCTATTGGAATTAATCCCATATGTTCTGTTGTTGGTTTTCACTTAACGCGGTACCCTGTGGGTTCAATTGACCTTAAGTACTACTGTGTGTGTGTATATATATATATATATATATATATATATATATATATATATATATATATATATATATATATATATATATATATATATATATATATATATATATATATATATATATATATATATATATATATATATATATATATATATATATATATATATATATATATATATATATATATATATATATATATATATATATATATATATATATATATATATATATACTACTGTATATGAATATGCCTGCACACACTCACACAGGATGAAATCCAGAGAAAGAATTCATAATTTTCTAGTAAGTGAAACACAATCAAGTGCAAAAGAAGCACAGTATTGGCAGATTCAATCCTTTATATAACTGATCCATGATATATGTTTGCAAGTTAAACTTGATTAACAAAAATATATTGATGGTTCCATAGTGTCCTACACAAAATATTACCACCATTATACATCAGTGGCAATGACCAAACATTTTCAGCAAAGAGAAACAGAAAAGTTCACAGCACAGAGACAATTTTGTGATCACTATAATCAGTGAAGAGAAAAAACACTACTTCAGATTAATAATACAGTATAATACAATAATATTAATAATAAATAATAAAAATTACAATTCATAAACTACCTGTATACCTTTTTTTCATTAAAAAATAATAAAATAAATAAACAAATAAAATGATGTTCCCATATCTGCTACCCTCACAAATGAAGAACAGGATAATGACTCTTAACAACAATACAGTACTATATCAAGTGATGAGCAACTTGTAGTACTGTACTGTAACACATATTGATCATAAGCACAGAGAGCCTAAAAGCTATTTATATAACACACTCCTTATGTCATCCCCTCACATTTTGTCTTATCTGGATAAATGAACTGTTGAGCATTCTTATCTCTGAGCAGCCAGGTCAGTTGTCTGATTATATTCAGGATAATCTATAATTAAAAGTTCATTACCCAAAAACAGTGAAACTGTTCTTAGTTAACCACTATAGTACAACGTTATCTTATTCAAAACACTATTGAAAGGGTTTAAGATATTGTACTGATGGGGTTAGACATCTTAATAAATAGCTTAAATTACTGTACTTGAGACAGGAAACACAACCATGCTATTATAAAGAATAATTAGGTGTTGTTTACATGGACAGACATTCGCTGCCTTAGTAATATTATAAGAATCTGTGTCATTTATTGCAAAAAATAAAAGTAAGATTACACAGAGCTACTAGCAAAATCTTTATGAATTTTACTCATAACGGTACAATACCTAAAATACTTCCTTTTATTAAATATACAATGGCATATGACTTCAAGGTTAATTAACTAAAGTCATATACAGTACAGGTATGTACACTACCTGAATCTATGACACTCTTGGTACACACTCAATATTTACATTTATTTGATGGATTTTTTAGTTCTCCAAAAAAAAAAAATCTCTAAACCACTTACTACACAATTATTTAATCTCTTTACCCTTTACTAAGCAAATTTTTTTTCATTATAATACCTTCACATTTCAACAAAATCTTTTCAATATGATTTTCATTTTATCAACAAAATCTCCTTCCTACATAGAGCTTTCATCTCCAAGACAATACAGATTAATTAAAACAACTTATACATGTTTGAAATTTTTGGCTAATAACATCTTCCCATCCACAAAAAAGTTGGTATAGTAAAGGATATCTTACAATTATGAGAATAATATATTCTAATCTATACTACTCTCATGGATACATATATAGTATACTTTACACAAATATATGCCATTGTATATGAATATACACATGCATAAACAGTCGAGTACATACATATGCATACTAGCACACATACTGTACCCAGTACATACAATTCACTCAAGTAAACTGTATGCTTGTTATGGACAGCATGATCAATCGAGAATGAACAGTGTGTGTGAATTTCAAAAGCAACATAACTTATTAACCAATGATATTTTCCTTCTAATTACTATTGTTTAACTTTAAAGTTATTTACAAATAGAAAGTGAAATTTTATGGAAATTTATATTCTTAATTCTACAGAAAAAATCTTAACTTCCTGAAACTTTAGAGTAAGTTAGACAATGTCGGTGGCTTTTATGTACACCGCAGGAGTGGTTCAAAACTTTTAATACTTCTTACACAATGTGGATCAATCATCAACATAATTCTGCTGTGCGGTTGATTTATGTTAATTTTATGAACCAATCTACCACTACAGTATAAATAATACATAAAAATGTTTCATGTACTGTAGTGTGATATCTGGGAGTCTCTGAATAGTTGGATCACAAAACAAAGGAGAAAATTTTAACCTATACTGTATATACGAAAGGTAAATACTGTGTAGTTATTCATAAAGTTTCTTCTAATACCCACAATGTTTCACTCTCTTAGTCCCATGATTGCTTTGAATCCCGGCAAGGCTGGGCAATACCGCATGATGCAGGAATGAAGTTCCCCCAAACCAAGTCTAAGAAAATCAGGACCGGTTTGGCTGAGCAAAAGTTAATTATTCACTAAATTTTGGAGAGTGATATAGCTTTGTATAAACAATTATAACTTTCAATCATCAACACTGAAAGGCTTAGCTGAGGAGTGTGTCCCCATCAGACTTACACCAGTGGTTGTCTGCCCCTCATATTGACTATCATCTTGAGTCCACTTGGGTCATATGCAAATGAAAAAATCTTGAACAGTGGAACCAAGATAGTGGTAAAGATACCATAAACTCCTCCTCTCACAAATGGTAACTGTAAAACGTAGTTTATGTGGGAAAGCACCAACACTCTCGCAGAAGCAAACAATAAAGAATTAAATCAACACGTCTTCCAAGGATGATCCACTGAAAGTTTACTAGTGATTCTTAGTGTTATAATGTTTCATGTAAGTTTTTATTCGAGGTTTCGAATGCTATGAGTTGGGTTCATACAAACTGTTGTATGGTGGTGTTAGAGCCACAGCAGTCAGTCCTGCTTCAGCCCACAGCCAGGCAGCAGCCTTTTCTGAGTCTCTGTTAATAAACCTTTTATGGAAGGTCCGGCATTTGTTTGTCTACCTGAAGTACTCCAAGTTGATGGCCAAAAATAACAATAGGATTAAGACAGTTTACTGTAATCCCATTTAATAGCTGTCTAGGACAGTGTTTCTCAAACAGTGGGACTCTAGGGTACTGTATTTGGATGCAGGTGAACTTTCCTGGTAGGAATCCTTCCAGTGAGCCTGAACCCTTAGTGGCTTTCAGAGCAACCCTGTTCCTATGTGCAAGGAGTTGACATACACTAATTTACCCTAATCCATCAGGTAGTCTACCCAGCCACTTGATACATCAAACTTCCTGGACAAGACAAACTGTGTTAGGGAAAATTCTAGTTGGTATAATATTACTTTTTACCCATTGATGACCCATAATGCACATAAAAAATTTTAATTGGCTTCTAAATGTTTGTCTAAAAGCAGCCAAAATAATGTTTGTATAGAGCTCTAAACACAGATTGGTTGGAATTTACAGAAGCTGCTATTTGACACCCACTGAGTCTTGACTACAGCGCCAATAACATAAAAGACTGCCAGGCTGAGCTACACAGGGTCTTCCAATTTTACAAATGGGAAACAAATATAACATTTCCATTTGACTAATTTTGTTTAATTGGGGAACTTACTGGTTTCTTAAGCGGTGTAAAGGGAGTTAAGTTCTTTTCTTCTACAGCTGGCATTAATGTCTCAGCATGACTGCGCTTCCTTGAAATTCCACTCATTTCATGCTGATCAACTCCTGAAAAGATATCTTCAATAAGTTAATATACACACAGAAAGTTATATCAAACATTAGAGCATCCATAAAATCACAGATTCATATAAAATACATTTCTTTATAGATCCAGTAGCAATAGAGTACAGTACTTACATGAAGTAGAAACACATAAAGCTTTGTGCATGTACTGCACTGCACTGATGAAACATATTCTAACTAATAAACATGAGCTGCACATCATATGACCCTCCTGATAGAGTATCCTTCACATTATCTTATCACCCCAACTTAATCTAGCAGATCAACAAGTAAATATTTTCATTAAATTTTTGCTTAACTATCATAAAATATCACTTGATATATATCTACTAGTAAAATGGTTGGGTTAATTGCTCCACCATTTTTGCATTTCAACTGAAATTAGTCGCACAACTGCTGGTGACAACGTTCTTTTACAGCTAATTAAAAAAAATTGTGACCCACCCCTATTTAGAAGCTGGGATCATTTTAATATTTAGCTAAATACTGTAGGCAAAATGGCTTCATCAAGATTTATTAAAATATGGTTAAAAAACAAGCAATCATTAAGTTCAATTTAACACAATGGGAAAGTCATACTTAAGTTTACCAACATTAATATAAAAAGGTGATTACCCGGTAAGTGATATAAAATACAAACACCACGGACCAGTCAAGATAATCATGTCAACAAATGTCACAATCTCAAATTATCAGATAGTCATCCATATGCCCTCATATATCACACAAAGGACAAAGCACCGTGGTCCATCAGTTGGGAGTCCAGTAGTTGTACTGTACTTAATTTCAGTGTTTTGCTTAATATTTTGTTAACTAAGTAGCTACACAATAAAAACACAAACTCTGTTAAGTTTTCACCCTAAGACGTGAATGACTGCTTGTATAAAAATGGATGTTACCAGATTACAACATTAAACTATCAATTAAAGATGACATGGCCCAATTAAACTTACCCAAATAATCTTAGAATAATATGGTACCTCAGGTACCCAGAGAAAGTAGAATACCTGCAGTTGGTTAGCTTATACTACAGGTGGGCAAGGGGTGACTTTATAGATTTCTATAAACCCCTCAGAGAACACAACTGTCAAGTGTTCATACCTCGAACTAATGGATGCCTGCCCCACCAGGGGTCACAACTTAAGGTTGAAGAAAACACAAGTTCAGAAAATTAATAGAGCAAATTTTTGGGAGTGAAGAGTTGTGAACTCTTGGAACAATCTGCCAAAAGGGTTGTGACGGCAGTGAGTGTGAGCTCTTTCAAGATTAGACTTAACCAACACTGGCGTGGGTTCAGATATATTCTGTAACCAGTACATGGCCAATACCGTTCTTGCCAACAGTGCATAACAAAGATGTGACCGACTGCCCAAGTTGCTAACAAGCCAATCAGTGGTGAAGAGGATAAATTAAATTGAAGAATTTTTCAAACAGAAAGCTATAAATAGAAGAGGCAAACTGTAATTCCTGGGGTGGATACTGTCTTCTCTTGAGGTAGGGAGCAACTTTTCTTCTATGCACAACATATCTAAAATAACTTATCTTTAGGTGTACTGTACAGTAGTTACTAGGACAGTAAAGTATTACTATTAGCATTAGGTTAAGGTTGGTTGATTAATTTCATGTCCTATCAGAATTATCGGTTCATGGTTGCAATACACAGTTACAATCCAAAGTTTCTTTACCCCCTGGCTGGAGGGAAAGTGAAGCTAAAGTTGAAGAAAGTCCAGGTGAACGGACTGTACACTATGCTCTGTGCTGTCGTCATAGACTGTGCTGTATTAATATTCATAAAATAACTGTAACTCTACCAACAAACCATACTATGTCACTATTGTGAATCATATTCCATACCTGAACTCGTGTGTTTTGTTGAGGTGCTGCTGTGTGAGCCCCACCATCATCGTGCCTCATCACCAAGCTACTGAATGAGTGTATGTCCATTTGCCTGGCCTCTCTTCAACCTCGGTTTTGCCTTACCACGCAGAGGAGGGGGGGGGGGTTAAAGAAACTTTGGATTGTGACTATACCACTGCCAGAATGTAGGGTGCCCTAGTTGCAATGTACCACTGTAGAATGTACCCTAACTACAATGTACCATTGCCAGAATGAATCTTAGGTACAATGTACTACCACTGCTGGAATGTACCCTAGTTACAATGTACTGTATTGACAACTAGCTGAAATAAACTGTACCCCAAATAAACTTCTCCTTTAAAACTACTTACCTTACACATACTTTCCAAAATAAAATAATGTATACCTATGTCAGTAAAATCCATTGTTGTTTTCAAATGTGCATTACACTACTGCCATCACCTAGTCTGCATGTCCTTTACAGAAACCAGATCTGGTGTCAGAGACCTCGTCGTCATCACTGCAATTTATTACATATGGCTATTAACATATTCCAGAACATCAGAAAAGCATTCAGACGATGGTTTAATTTATATTTTTCAAGTTTAGGAGATATACCTTACCGTATTTACCTAATGGCCACCCACTAAATGTGGCAATGCCAAGGGAAGGAGACCAGTGGACTGTGTAAGACCCCTCCATTGTTTTCGATAATTTCGTCAAGGGATATTTTGAAGCCCACTATTGTACTGTTTGTGATTCCACAGTTCAGGCTAGTAGACAGTTCCTTAGGTCTTTTTCCTTCTTGACAGTACAGTACCAAGGAAAGTGTTATTAACAGAGTAGTAGTGAACAGGGTTGTTGTATCTTATACATAGGATTTTGCATTATATGATGTTAAAGAGTATTTGCCAGCCTCGAGACCAGTTGAACAGCTCACGCAGGTCTTTCTGCATTGTTGCAACATCGTCTTGACTTGTTACCTTCCCAAATATCTTTGTGTCATCCACAAACTTGGCAATGAGGCTTCATATGTTTTCCTCTTTGGCCCGTATTCACAATTGACATGCCCGGCCATCAGGAACCCGAAGTTCGCGTAGGAAGGTGTTACTCAAGAATGTGCTTTAAGCACTAAGATGGGCCACGATCCTGATACACGTAGTAGGGCTACCAACATGTGCAGATTGGCAGGATGGCTGGTGTTTAGTATGCCACGAGTCAGATGTCACATATAAACAAAAGGCACTTGATTTAACCCTTAAAGCCCGAGTGACGTTCCTCTACATCCGCTATAGCAACTCGGGTGATGTTCCTCTATGACCTTAATTTTCGCAGCATAGATTTAATATCCAAGAGGGACGAAGTACTTTGTATAGGATATTTTTTTACTTGACAGCTCAACTCTTGCATAATCTTTGTCTTAAGTCATCATGGTCCAGTTACCCACCAGCTATCATCATGGATGCATGTCCTTCGACGTCTCGTAACCCGTGTCACTCCTCTACATCCAAGCGAAGGCATTTCCTTGACAGTAGTGCCTTCATCAATAATTCTTGATTTGAGTGGCACTGATATAGTACTGGGTGACAAAGACAGTGATGGGGAGGAAACAGACCCAAGTGATGTCGAGTTTGTTGACGCGGACAGAGGTGAGGACAGTGTTACAGTCAATGGCACTCAATCCCCCTCCCCACCCCGCCAGTCAGGTCATTAGCGCCACGGTGGCCGAAGCTGTAGGGGACCACATGCACGCCAACCATAACAGTATGCTCGGAGTGCCTGAAACATGCCCGCGTGGGAAGTCCGACGGGTCTCGCATCACCCAGGGCATCAGGATTAATATGTCTCAGAATGCTTATATTATTACATTGTTTTACTTCTTTTATGTTAATGATCCTTGATTTTTGTGCCAATTTGCTTCTCAGCTGCAGAGTGCCACTTAAAAATAATTGATAAGGATTTGAATATAGCCACTTCCTTTGTGATGAGGCTGACCGGGTTGATCTTAAGCATCGTCACTGTTGGTGCTTTGTGTTTGCTATATGGACCCTAATCATCCTTTTCAATAATTCTTCCCAGAATCTTATATCCCAGCTACATGTACTAGATGTTCATGGTACTGTTAACCTGTAGGGTAGCGGTCTTAAAGCTGATTTAACAGAAGGATGCTATAGACAAAGCGTGATTTAGAATGCCTAGAAATGCATTACTCCGGAGTCCCAAGTTCAAATTTCAGACTTACACTTTTGGTGGTAAGACTACAAATAAAACAAACATAACTTGCAACTCTACATACCTTCTGCAATGTATGTTTTATGTAAAAGAGCAATATTTTAATTGAAAAGTTTCCCAACGTTGCTTATTAACTCGCGCATCTCTTTCTAAAGTATTAGCAGGTAATTTTTAAATATTCAATAATAGGTTAGGTTGGGTTAACTTGTTAATTGTGAAAGATGAGAATAACCAACACAGACCAGCACGACTATACTCGTTTAAACCTAAGGAACCAAATCTAACGACTCGTATATCAGGATACATGACTTTTCCAACCTAACTTAACAGCCTGGCTATGTAGCCTCCAGTATGACTGGCTAGGAACTCCCAGTCAAGTAGCCAATTTTTTTTATGGTGACCCAGTATGACTGGCTAGGAACTCCCAGTTAAGTAGCCAATTTTTTTATGGTGACCCAGTCATTACGATATATTTACCAGTTTGTCTCCAGCAAAGTAAAGGAATACAGATGTAAACCTTCCTTATTTCCTTCTCTGCCAACATCAATTATCATGTACATAAATATGCCAAACTGATAAGTACATAACCCTGGTGTTATCTCTAGTTATACAGGGAACATCTACTTGTAGAGGTTGACACACTCACCAACAAAGGGATCCTAATGCCAACTGTTAATAACAAAATAACAGCCTAAGTAATACACTGAACCTAACCTAACCTAAAATAATGCACATCCATACCAGGATACATACGATAGGTTCAGGCAAGTTTGTCTTATTTTCACAATAAATCACCGGTGGCAAGTCTTCATTAGTGAGCGTTTGTCTGAGACTTTCGCTTTTAGCACTCATCTCCTAAATAAATAATACATATAAATTAAACCATAACTTGAATACCCTTTTAATGTACTGTATATGTTTAATTAATATAATAAATCTAGCAGTAAGTATGTAGTGTATTTGTGCAACAGGAAGAGTATAACCTGTCTTGGAGATGATACACTGCAATAAGGGACCAGTATATTCTGACTGATACACTCAGGCAGCATTACATTGTGATCATAATTCACACAGAGGGAGGTAGAAGGAACAGTCTACTCGCTCCAGATGTCAAATAAAAAACAGTACTGGGTTTCAAAATAGCCCGAGACAATACTATCATGATCAATGGAGGGATCCTTACACAGGTCAATGGCCTCCTTCCCTTGGCATGACCACCTCTAGTGGGTGGCCATTAGGTAAGGTAGGTAGGTAAATAAGGTAAAAATTATCAAGTCTTGTCATGTCTGGCCTGACCATACACAGATGGTGTTGGTGTCCTTAAGAAAATTTGAGTACTACATTACGGGGTTCCACTGATTCTCCCACCAATTTAGATTCTATGCAATAAATATAATATATCAATGGAGATCCCAGTAAAAAAAATCAAGTGCAGTACTGTTAACCTTGTTCTACACTTTTACCAGTACCTTAGTGGTAAAGGTGTGTTATAGTTTTAAGTAAATAAGGTGATGACTCAAAACCTCACCTTCAAAAAAGGTCACATTTTGTCATGTTACAACACTACAAAGAGGACATCTTCCACGGATGTTACGAGTGTGGCAGCTGTAATGTCAAAATACCCAAATAACCTTAATGGTATGTAGTAACTAATCCTTCTCGATATGACGACAGTTTGCCGCAAAACAACAATTTACTCCAACTAATGAACTAAACCAGGTATATACATATTTACCGTCCCTACCTTCAAGGTGTCATGTGATTAAACATATTCATGAATTTTGAACTTAATCCTGGCTCTGCATTCGGCCTTATCGAACCATCCTTCCTGTATCCTTGGTAGGCTACAGTGTTTACATAACTTCCTTAACAAGAAAACTTGGCAACGCCTTCGTGCCCTTTATAGGTGCTCACCAACACTGAGACCGGGACAACGTTTAAGTCGATTACAACCAATAACAAAAATCACACGGACACAAATATCTTGTTATTTTACAACTTGAATGTTTCATCATTCCGAATTCATTGTTTTTACTAAAGTTCACTGAACTGTAATAGAAAAAATTGGGTAATACCTTGCCCGTTGGAGCTCACGGGTGTAGCAGACGCCATAACAACTTTACGTGACGCTCGAGTCAGCTGAGCCAGAGGGCGCTGGCCTTGAGTAAACATTAGGGGGCGCTGACACAAACTTAAATAATTTTTAATTAATTCTGCATAATATTTCGACTTACTTTTCGAGTAGTTATTATTTATTATAATATAGTAATCACACTGGAACAAGCATGATCTGTTTAATTCATATTTCTAAGTATCAGAATGGGAATCTCGATAGTTGTCTAACCCACAGGTGAGGTTTTTCTTCACAAAGTTGTTTACATTCGTCCGGTGTTCGTCGATAGTGCCGGGTGGAATCCGAGATTAGAAGTGGTGTATATCTTTAAATAAGATAGTTAGAGGTGAAAGGTTGCATTAGCTTGTTATAAACAATATTTACATCAAAGTGCTCACTAATACGCAATAGTTCACGAGTTATACTTATTATGTAATAACACTGGGCCAATACGAATCACGAGTAAGTTTTAAATTCTTACATACTAAATATTTTATAATATTTTATAATATTTAGCAATAAGCCAAAAGATTATATATATATATATATATATATATATATATATATATATATATATATATATATATATATATATATATATATATATATATATATATATATATATATATGCCTTCCTTGTGGTTATCAGCATATACCTGATCACGCGCAACTACAGTGATTTACTTGCATATATATATATATATATATATATATATATATATATATATATATATATATATATATATATATATATATATATATATATATATATATATATATATATATATATATATATATATATATATATATATATATATATATATATATATATATATATATATATATATAAAACAAGCGAATGCAACCTTCCACCTCCAAGTAATCTTATTTAAAAATATACACCACTTCTAATCTCGGCTTCCACCCGGCACAACATGAGACTATCGACGAACACCGGACGAATGTTAAATATCAGAGAACTATGAGAAACAAAATATATGAAATCAGGGCGTTGACATGTACCGAAAAATCGATATAATAACATTCACCGAAACATAGATAAACCTAGACTCAAGGGAGTTACCTGTCGAATACCAAATTGCAGGTCGCAAATTATTCCATACCGATAGGCAGATTAAGAAAGGAGGCGGAGTAGCAATATGTGTCAGGGATAA